CAGACAGCCTCCCCCGAAAACCGGGCTCTCCCTTCTCTCGCTGGGACCCAGTAGGGGCCCCGGGCTGAGGCTACAGCCCCCTCGGTGCGGGGTGGTTTTCTCCCCGTTTGCTGAGCAGGCAGAGGGGCCCAGGGTGCCTGCTTACTCGACAAAAGTTAGTTTAAGCCTTTTCTATTCAGGGGGCTTAAACGAGGGATTTGGCTGGCCTGGTCGGGGAGGGAGCCGTCGCCTGCCCACTGAGCCTCCCGTTTTCCGCGGGATCAAGTCCCTGCTTTCTCCCAGTCGAGGAGGCCCAGCCAGTTCAAACCACCCAGGATGCGGATGTCCTGAACAAGAGCAGCAGCTGCCACCTCTTGTCGGGGGTGCTTGGTGTTCTTGGCTTGGGGTGGGGCCAGGCCCAGGTCCTCCTCCCAGCACCCACTGAGATCTCCAGGAGCCCCCAAATCTCCCTGAGCGCCAGGCCAGCGCTTGAGGGCTCCAACCCCAGGGTAGGGTGGAAGCGAAGCTGGGGGTGCGCTGCCCCGCCCCAGTACTGGGCCCACTGCAGCCACCACACTGCGGACCCCCCCATTGCTCCAACCTCCCTGTCCTCACACAAGCAGCATTAAAGGCTCCCTCCCCAGCCACCCCCACCCCCCAGATGTCTTCCCCAAGGCAAACAAGTCCACATCTACTAGGAAAGAAAACAACCACCCAGGTTAAAGTGGAAACCAAAGATCAGTCTGTGTGTTCCTGGCTCCGCTGAGGAACTGGCCTGGGCTGCGGGCTGGGGAGGTAAAAGCCCTGCAGCGATGGGCAGTGATGATAGAGAGAGGGGATAGAGATGCCGAGCGAGGGAGGGACGCAGCGGTGAGCCACTGTAAGATGGCTCAGGCAGGTAGGCAGGGATCAGAGTCCCCAGACCCAGAGGACGCAAGTGGACAGGGCCCCCCAAACACAAGCAAGGTGGGGCCAAGGCCAGAAGCACAGTGCACAGTGGGCATCTCTGCTGGTTAGGCCTTGGGAATCTGCTAAGACGCCCACGGACTTCAGTTATGCCTCATTCTGGTTGTTTCTCCAACAAGTAAGGAGTAAGGATGAAACCCACCATGATAAAATAACAAGGCAGGGCAAGAAGCCCTTGAACCCTGAGGCACCAACATGCCCTTATCAGTCACCAAACACCCGCAGGCTGGGTTCTCCCCAGGCAGCTGTGTCTGGACTTGGAGTTTGGCAAGAAGGAAACAGGGCCACTTCAGTACCAGGTGGCAGCTGTCTGGCCTGCAGGATGCCTGCCTGCTCGGTTGCAAGGTCCTCTGTGCCAGGAGATGCCTCCCAAAGGCACATGTCCGAGTCCCTCCGGCTCTGCCAGCCTTCCCTCGGCCTGGCTCATCTCCCTGCTCTGCGGGCTGCCCCTCTGGCTGGGGCAGGGCCATGAAGGGCCACGCGGGCCAAGAGCCAGGGAAAGCCACCACTTGTTTTGGCTGCTCCTCACCGAGGTGCTACCAGGCGTGGGGCTGGGCGATACTCTAGCTTCCCTGGTTCATGGGCAGGAAGTACAGCCTGGGAAGGAGTGTGGCGGACCTGAGTTAGGAAGACGGGCAAAACCCATAGAGAAGCCCACAGGGCTTCCCTGCCCATCTCCCTCCAAACCCGGGAGGAAGGTTAAGGGGACAAGAGGCAGCCCTCCCGGAGTGCCCCCTCTCCTCGGGCCACAGCTGGGAACGCTGACGGCTCCCTGCTGAGCAACTGCTGGGCCACGGCCACGTGGTCACCTGACGATGTTGGTTATATGGGGCACCCGGCGTCAGGCCCCCTTGGCCTTGCTTTAAATAGCGTGCTGGGAAGGCCGCCTGGGACCTGCTGGAATGTGCCTCCACCCTCTAGCTGTCCAAGGCCCTCCAACTCCCCCCTGGGCCCCACTAAGGCGCCTTCCACTCAAGGCCAAGCTGGAAAGGATGAAATAGCAACTGGAGAGCACAGGGGGCTTCGGTCCTCAGGGCAGATCCACTCCTATCCCTGGTGCAGACGGGATCCCAAGGGCACCCCGGGGCTGACCCAGGTGCAGCTGGCCGATTCAGGTCCCCACAGGCCCCGGCTGTGTGAGTCTGCGGCCTGCGGCTGGCGTGGACTGACGCTCTTCCCAGAGTGGGGCCCGGGTCCCCCGGGCATGAGTCTGCAGCTTTCTGACTTCCTAACCCCTGGAGGGCCAACAGGCCCCGTCTTTCCTGCATAGCAGTTCAGCCTCCGCTCCACCTTCCTCCTCCCTACTTTGGGGATCACACCTGAACCCACTCCGCACCCCGACTGACCAGAGTCTCCAAGCAACCTCTCACTCAGAACTGGAGCCACCCCCTCTGCAATCCCTCCTGAGCCTTTAGGCACGGGGACACAAGTGGAAAAGCCCCCCTGCCAGCCTGCGTGCCCGCTTCCTCTCTGGAGTACCTCTGATGGCTCCATTAGGCAATGTAGGCCCTGGGCCAATCAAGTTGAGAAAGCCAGGCTAAGTGTAGCTAAAGAAGGGAAGCGAGAGCAGCCCAGCTCGGAAGCCTGGTGCAAGCTCCCTGAGGGCTTCGGTTGGCCCACTGGAATGGGTCAGGTGGGCAGGCTCCCATCCTCCAGGAAACCCAGGGAGTGGGATGCCCAGGGGCCCAGGACCACCCTCCTGTACACGTCTGCGGCTCTGGGCCGAGGGAGGAGGTCTGCTCGGTGTGACCTGAGGAAAGGGGTGCTCGTGAACTTGACACAGAAAGACTTGCGAGATCTGCCCTTTGGTGACAAGTCACAGGAGGTTCTCAAAGAGCAGGTGCAGCCCGGTGAGTGAAGACGCTGTGCTCCAGACTCCCACGTGTGGGTGGGGCACAGCCCTGGTCCTGTGCTGAGCCTGTCACACAGGCCAGGCCCTCGGTGCGCGGCTCCTGGGCTGACTCATCTTGTCTGCAAAGAGCAGACTGCCCGGGACAAGAGCCCAGGGAGGCACAGTGTGACCGAGGAGCGGTCCCTTCCTCTCTCCGGTCTCAGGGTCCCCATATGCAAAAGAAAGAAGGCAGAAGGGGATGACACATGGCATTCTAGAATCCTATGACTCCCAGGACATTGGAAGACTGGGTTCCTGATCTCCTCTATAGAAAGACGCGGACCCTGGGCTGGGGCGTGGGAAAAGCTGGGGGGCTCTGACTCCAGGAGCTTCACCCTCTGACAAGAACCATCCAGTCCTCCACGGAGCCATTTCCACCTGCCTGCTACCCCCACCATCATTTACAACACAGCTGCCCGCCTCCAGCTGGCTCCCTACCATCTTCCTTCACCTCACACACCACAGACATCCTGGCATGAAGGACGCAGATGACATCCCCAAAGGTGCTGGAGGAAGGCCACTGATGGCGTATGTGGGGAGGGGGCCGTGACTGCCCCCAAAGGTCGTCTGGCCTCTCCCCGCCCAGAGCGGAACCACGTGCCCCAGGCCCTCCTGGAGCCCGGTGCTGTGGTCAACCCTCCCTCCCACCAGCCTCAAGGCATGCACCCCGTCTTCACGTAAAATGAGGGGAGGAACAGACCCAGAGAGACAAAGCGACTCCAAGTCACAAAAGCAGGGAGGAGGCCGGCAGCATCAAACCCGGGATGATTCAAATGCTGTGCTCCGGGGGCCGGCTGGCCAGACGGGAGCAGGTACCCTGTGGAGAAGGAGGCACCTGTGCCAGCCACCGTCCAGGCCCTGGAGGACTGCGGGGCAGGCCACCAGGAGGTCCCACCTTCTACCGACCAGAGCTGCACAAGAAGGAAGCGCTGGGCAGGAGGGGGGTTCTCCTCCTCGAGCAAAGGCCACGTGCCAGAGAGGGCAGGGAGCCAAGGGCGGCGCAGAGGGCCCGATGACTTTCCAGGCAGCTCTGAGGACGCTACTCTGCGGTGGCAGGGCCGGGGCTGACCGCAGCCCGCTCCGGGCAAACCTGCCAGGCAGAGAGCAGGGACGGGGCAGCGGTAACAAGAGCTTAATGTCTGGCGCAGGCCCCGGGCTGCCAGCAGCCCCGCCTCGGTGAACAGGTTGAGGCTGGGTTGGCCCAGGCTGTTCATGAGCCCTCGATCAAGAGGCGCTGGCTCCCTCGTGCCCACTGGTGAGGCGCCAGAGGAACAGAGTCTGGGGCATAACGTGCCCTGACTCACTGACTTGGCCTGGGCCTTCACCTTCGGCCCCTCAGGCAGGACGGACCAGAGGAAGCCCTGGGTCACGGGGCCTGGAGGCTGACCGGCCACTCAGGGGGCAGGGGTGTGGGGGAGCGGAGGAGACCCTCTTGAGAGCCAGAAGAGCAAGTCCCAGCCAGCAAGAGCAGGGCGCTTACACCCTCCCGGGGACGCCTGGTCCCACTCTGAGAGAAGACTCCTTGGGGAAAACTGGAGGAGTACTGTGTCACCCCACCTTCTCACAGGAAGACACTGAATGAGGAAAGAAACGGGGCTGATGAGAGGGGTGGGGGACCCCAGGGGGCCTCAGATCGCCGCTCCCCCCCCTCCCCGCCACGGTCAGCTCTCACCTCTGGCCAACCCTGGCCAGCAGCCCCCATGAGCCCACTCCCGGGAGAACCTGACCCTCTGTCCCCAAAAGTGATGAAAAGTAAGGGTGCCAGGCTGGGATCCCAGAGCCCCATGTCTGCACCAGGAAACCAACCGGGGAGCTGTGTCCATACCAGACACCCTGACAACACCTAGTTGTGTCCCAAAACACAGGAGCAGAACAGGGCAGTCACCTTCACAGCCAGCAAGCATGGCTGACCCTGGCTGACTGGCAGAGCCCTCCCAGGGCTGGCTGTGCCCGGCAGCCCTGTGGCGGGGCCTCGGGCTCCCCGTCCTCCCGTGTCCCGGGCAGGGGCAGTGCCAGCACTGAGCGAGGGGCCCCGCGGCGCCCCTCCTCCCTGGTGAGCCACCGGACTCTGATGGGTGAGGCCTGACAAACCCGTTCTGCGGGCCGGGGTGGGTGAGCCAGCTCCGCGGGGACGCCAGGCCCTCTCTCTGCTCTGCAGGCCGGGAGGCGCCCGGCAGGGACCTGGCGCAGCATGGCCGCCGGCAGCCTCGTGCAGGAGCTGCACTCCATCGGGGACAGGCTGCTGCTTAAGCTGCAGAGGCTGCCGCAGGCCGAGCCCGTGGAGATCCTGGCTTTCTCGGTCCTGGTGGTTTTCACAGGTAAGCCGGGGCTCCCGGAGGCTCCTCAGCACCCAGGGCTCTTCCTCGCGTCCGGGAGAGGAAACCGTGGTGCCAGTCGGAGGGCTGGGTGGTCCCCCAGAGGAGGAGAAACAGATGTCTCCAGAGGGTGGTGGGGCAGGGGATCTCCCCCTATCCTCCAACATGCTGCCCCTGGGGATGGGGTGTGCTGAAAACCAGGGCCCAGGGGTGCTCCCGGGACCTCAACCCAGGGATGAAGGGAGCAAGAGCTCTGGGGGCCGGCGTGGGGACAGTCACTCCTCTAGCCAGATTCTCGGTGTTTCTGACCAGTAAGCAGACCTTTGGGGAAGGCCCTCCAGGCCCCCGCGGGGGCTTCCTCAGGAGTGAGGTGGGCACGCTTTCTCCCCCACCCTGTCTGAGTTTCCCGTGCTCTCTGCTGTCCCCCAACCCCTCCAGCCACTGTGCTGCTGCTGCTACTGATTGCCTGCGGCTTCTGCTGCTGTCAGTACTGCTGTCCCAGGCGGAGAGGCAGGAGGACCCAGGTGAGACCCATGACCCCACCGTGAGGGCCAGCAAGATGACCGAGAAGCCGGAGTGGAGACTGCCGACGCCACGACCCAGGTGTCAGCCTGGCCCTGCAGCCCTCGCCCCTCAAGACAAAGACCCACGGCTCAGCCCTGGCCAAGCCCAGGGACCTGGACGCTGACCAAGACCTGGAGCCTCGGCAAGGACACCGGCTGTTTTGGCCACAGAACTCTCACCTGCAGGGAGCCCAGGAGGGATCGAAGGTTTCAAAGACAGAAAACCATCAGAGCTTCTTTGCCAACCTGCGCTTTTTAACAAAGCACAGAGAGTGGTACCCATACTTGGAGAACAGCCCACATCTGTGGGGAGCTGGCCCTCGGGGGTCCCACGCCAGAGAGGAGCAGGTCAATCAGAGGGGCTCTGTGCAGGAGCTACCGGGTCCCAAGCGCCCCGCAGAGTGGGGAACATGTGTGTTCTATTCCAGGGTTTGCCTGCTTCTTTCCAGTAAAGGCTTTCTGGTTACGCGTTTCCGCGGTGCCCCACTCCCTGGGCTGGGCCCTGTGCATCGGGAGTGCGGTGTGCCAGGACCCCGTGGGTGCGGCCAGTGTCTTCTCCTTGCAGCCTCTGCTCTCCCTGTGCCCACGGAAGCTGGAGAAACACGCAGGCAAGGATGCCACGTGGGGGGGCGGGGAAGGGGGTAAGACTCCGGAACCAGAGGAGGGCTGCAGGGCCCCTCCTGCCGCGCGCCGCCTCCCAGGTGCCTGGCCGGCTGCGACGGAGACTGCATCTGCCGCAGGCAGCTGCCGGGCTCAGGAATGCCACACCACAGTCACCACTGCCATTAGCTGTAGGCGGCACGCCCTTGTCCTAGCAGGTCCTCCCAAACTTCCGGAATAAGACAGGTGAGGTCCCTACTGTCGTCCATAACCTGCCTCCTGACCACACCATCCTCTCCCCAATGGGCCAGACGGTCTGGGTTCAAATCCTTGCCACCCCGCCAGCCCCCAACCAGCTACATGAACAGATGTTAGTGACTCGACCTTCTCCTATGAAATGGGGCCAGTCCTGGTACCCGACTCCCGGGGTGAGCCTGTGAGGATAAACCAAGACGGCCTTGGCATGGTGACCTGCCCAACACTGGGCATGGCCTAAGAGCTCCACCGATAGGAAGCATCCTTATTTGCCCCTCTATTTGGGGGGCTGAGCCAGAGCAATGTGGACCCACTTTAAGGAGTGGTCCTGCTGACACACAATATTGCCCCGCCTCCTGCCCTCCAGTTCACTTTCTCTCCACACAATTTTCCAGGTAGAGCTATAAGCCCAGGAATGAGGGTAGGGGAGGCAGAGGCTCTCACAGTACCTGCTGCCCGCCCCCAACACCGGTATCAGAGCCATGAAGAGCCCTGTGTTCCTACACACCTCCGGGGTCTCGGCCTGTGCAGCCGGCCCTGGTTGCCTGGAGGCAGAGCCCCAGCTCCTCGGGAACAGGAGGGGAGAGGGGATGCCAGCTCCCGCCACTCCACCGCCTCCAGCTCAGGCCGGCAGCAGAAGCCCTCTCCCCGGCTGGCTTCCCTTCCTGGTGTCCAGGGACTTGTCTAATGGGTTTGGTTTGGGTGGAAGACCCAGAGAGGAAATGCTTTCACAGAAAATAAAAGAAACACAAGAATCTGTCTGTACACTCTACACTTCTACCACCACCACGAAAGAATGGGGTTCAGAATAATAGTGATAATAATCATGACAATAATGCTGAGAAGGGAGGTGGCTCAGCGCCACCCCCCCCCCCAGGCAGTGTCTGAAGCCTTCTGACACAGATTAATTCATTTAATTATCACAACAACCTGATGTCAAACGGACCATTATGATCCCCTTTTCAAAGGTGAGGAAGTAGGTAACTTGCCTAAACTGGACCAGCTGAACAGTGGCAGGATCCGCCTGTCTGGCTCACCACACCCCAGGCCTCCAGCTGCAGTGCTGATAAGGCTCGCACTCCATCACCCACCACCTAACAATCTCAGGCCCCAAAGAGCCGCACCCCACACCCTTCCCCGTGAGCGGGTGTGGCCGAGGAGTTAAGAGCTGGGGTGGGGCCCATCCACGGCTCCCTCTCAGAAGGAAAACAGGGAAGGTGGGAGCATGTGACGCCCTGCCTTTCCCGGGTGCAGCACCCGCAGCTGGAGGGTCCCCAGGAAGCCCTCGGTTCGGAGGACACAGCAGCCTCATCCCAGTGTGATCTTCCTTCAGCAGGTTCATCAGCATCAAGAACATCCTTCATCAGGGTAACTGACGCTCAGCCTCTTTTCTAGAAAAGATTCATGCTCCTGCGAGCAGCTGCCAAGAAGTGGGGCCACGAGCAGCCCTGGGCACCTACAGGTGGACAGGAAGTTCACTTCCTGTGTCTTCCTCCCCTAGGCCAGGCAGTACCTAACTGCCAAGTCCAAATAAGATTCTGTCCTCGCCCTTGGGGGCTTCCAGGGGCACAGCCCCACCAACACTGGCTCCCCCGTGGCTGTCGGGTCAGATTCCAAGCAGGCTCCAAGCCCCCGAAGCTCAACCAACCAGACCTCCTTGCACACAACAGCGGCCTGACACACTCTGGCTGGTCCCCTGGGGAAGATGGGCAGGGAGAGGAGACAGCAATCCCCCCACTGCAGGAAGGCATACACAAGGAGGGACAGCAAGGCCGGTGGGGGCCTTGGAAGAGGCGCCGTCAGGCCGTCCGAGCCCCAGAGAACACCCGGCTGACGCTGGCGACCAGACCTCTCCGCTCGTGCCGCCATGCCACCCTGGACCAGGCCGCCAGCGGCGTCTGCCTGCAGTCACTGCCACAGTGTCCCCGCCAGCCTCGGTGCTGATCTCCGCGCCTCTTCACGCCCCAGCCTCTGCCTGTGGCCTCTGCTCCAACAATGCCCACGACTGTGGTCTCTGGGGCCTCACAAGGGTTTTACACTCTACGCTTCAGATCTGCATAGTTTACTGTCCAGACATTACACCTCAGAAACTACAGTCAAGCCACCGGTGCAAGGATCTCATTAGCAGAGGCCACACAACACCGTTTTCTCTGAGATCTGTTTTCCCGAACACTAATGTTTGAGAGCAACCTACAAATAACAGCCTTTAGGACAATATATTTGCTTGTGGGTAACAACAAATTCCAGAGCCTAAAAAACAGAGGACAGAGAGTTCCCTGGTGGCCTAATGGTTAGGATTCTGGACTTTCACTGCCATGGTCCAGATCCAGTCCCTTATTAATCCCCTGGGTTAGGTTCCTGAGGTCCTGCAAGCCATGCGGTACGAACAACAGCAGAACGATCATTTGAAAAATAACTGAAAACAAAATAATTCTGTACTTAGAAAATGTTTCTTCACTCTCCTTGGGGAGCAGTTGCCTGCTGTCCCCTAATTCTAACTCTTACATCATCTTCACATCTCAACTTAATCATTGCTCCTCCCAGGGGAGTCCCCTGGACCCCAGGCCATGCCAAGGATACCAACAGCATTCTCTACCCCTTTCCACCATATCACTCCCTTCCTGGTGATCATTTCAGAAGAATTTTCTGACCTGGGCCAGCAATCAATTAAAGCAATGTTTGCGTACATGAGACATACACACTCTACACTCCTCATCTGAGATGGAAACACAGACACACATCTTTATGATGTAGGGCCAAGGTCTTTTCTCTGAGTGTGGGTTTGCTGATCAGGTTTCCTGACTTGTCTATTTAGTTAATTTTTATTTCTTTGAGGCAGAATAAGGGGACTTCCCTGGTGGCCCAGTGGTTAAGAATCCACCGTGCAATGCTGGGGACTCAGGGTTGATCCCTGGTCAGGGAACTGAGACCCCACATTGCCTCAGAGCAACTAAGGCCACGCGCCACAACTTCTGAGCCTGTGCACCACAACTAGAGAGTCCGTGCACGGCAATGAAAGATCCCGCTTGACTCAACTAAGACCCGACATGGTCAAATAAATAATAATGTTTTAAAGGAAATAAAAGCTTTCTGAAAAAAAGGCATCTGCAAAGAAACCTGATTGTGAAATCCTCCTGCACTTTTAGGAACTGCTTACAGCTGTCTTGTCCACATCTATTTTTGACAGAAATGCCATCTGAATGATTCTAAAGTGGTCAAGTAGTATTTACAGAAAGACTTTCCCTCTCGGCTTGTTCTGAGGTCCAACACAGCGCTTCAGAGCTCAGACGGTGCAGCTGAGAGGAACAGCTGGGTCCAACCCTCAGAGCAGTAACTTCTTAGCTGTGTGACCTTGGGTAAGTTACTTAACCTCTCTCTGTCTGTTCCCCGGTTGTCAAACTGGGGTTTCAGCTATTACCACTGCTTCGTTTCCATGTAATCTTAACTGAAATTATGTAATTATAATAGCAACTACAGCTGCCACAAAACAGGTTGGGGAACAAACAGCTGACTCTTAATAAGCATCCGACTAAGCTGCTGGAGTGGAAGCCCGAGGGTGTGCTTAGACCCCGGCAGGCCAAGGGTATTAGTCAGTGTATTTTATGGAAGGAAATACGAGGTAGCAGGTGAGCCCGAGTCATTGAGGCCAGGAGAGTTAAGAAGGACTTCGCGGAAGCCGCCCACCATCTCCTGAGCCCCGGCTGTACGTGAGAATCACCTGGCGAGCTTTACCAAGCACAGGCTTCTAACACACCTGGAGGAGGGGCCTGGGCACAGGCCTTCAGAAATGCTCCCACACGACTCGAACAGGCCCTAGAATGTAACCCCTGGGAGGACAGAGCCTGCCTGTCTTGCTCACGATTGGACACAAGGTGCCTAGCGCAGTTCCTGGCCACCATGGACACTTGACTCCTGTCTTTTAAGGAGGGAATGGCGGCCACCAGGTTCCACGCACCAGGGCACAGGCCCCACTCCTGCTTCCCGGCCACTCCATCACACCAGGGGTGGGAACCCACAAGAAACAGCTGAGGCCAGGCCTGAGCGGCAAAGATACCAAGAGAGAAGTCAGGCCTCCGCAGGAAGCTGGGGCCTCGCTGATGATAAACACCCCCGTGCTGGTTCCAGGAGGTGCCAGCGGGAGCTGTGGTTAATAATCCACCCGGTGCCATGGAAAGCAAGCAGCCGTGGGTGGCGCCCCAGTCCTGGGGCCTCCTGAGCAGGTCCTTTCAGGGGACAGGTCGTCTGGACTGAGGGGAAGGACACAGGTGAGGGGGACAGGTGGCCTGGGGCAAGGGCCCTGGAGCCATTCTCTCCCCAACTCCAATTCTGATTTGTCTCAGCCAGGACACCTCAACCCACACGCCCTGAGCAGCCCCCCAAAACAGCATTGCAAGAGGACAGAACACAGCAAAGGGGGTAAGTGTGAAAGGCTGAAAGGGAATGCGGTTGCTCGGCAACAGGCCCTAGCCCACCTTTGTCTGCTCTGGTGACAGCAGGCAGGTCTGGTCAGGGCCAGCCATCAGGGCGACCCCTTTTCCTCCCAAAAGTTGCTTCTCTGAGTCGGGGCAGAGCTCCGGTCTCCTGGCAGTGTCTTCAGCTTGGCCCCCGCAGAGCGCGGCTCTGAAGGACTCCCTGACCCACCCTCTCTTAGGACACAAGACCGAGAGCAGCAGGCCCAGGTAACGGCACCTTCCTCCTCCGCCTTTACTCCCTTCAACTGGCTGCTGGCTCGCAGCCTGCCCGTCTCAGCTGTGTTTCAAGACGATCAGTTAGTCCTGCTTTCACCTGCCTCTAAGGAAGCTGGCTAAGCTCCCAATTGGAGTCTGTCCACTCCTTGGCTCCAGTGCGGACCTCTCAAAATGCTCCCCAGGCGTTCGCAACTGAGGCAGGAAAACCGGAAAGGGTCTATATCAGTGCTTTTCACTTATTTTTTGGCCATGTCACGTGGCGTGCAGACTCAACTCCCCGACCAGGGATCGAACCTGTGCCCCCTGCCCTGGGGTTAGGGTTAGTGTCTTAACCACTGGGCCACCAGGGAAGTCCCTATAGCAGTGCTTTTCAGGTTCTGGCTGAGCAGGTCTCAGGGATGGGAGAGAAAGCCCCTGATCACAGCAGGGCTGCTGAGGAAAGGCCTGGGGAAGGCAGAGCGCACCAGACCACCCACCGGACCACCTTTGCTTCTGCGGAGGAGGAAAGCTCATCTGTTGCCTGCCCGAGGCACCGAGCCCCATGACCCACCGTCCCCTCCATGCCCACCAACTGCAGAGGTGGCTGCTGTTCTGAGACGGCGCCAGAGAATGAAGTTAGAGGAGCAGGGAGTAGCACACGGGGAGGGCTGTGGAGAAGCCCCGGCATTCAGGGCCTCTGTCCCCGCCTTTCCAGGTTCAAATGGACAGAACACTATCGAAATACTCCTGGAAGACGGAGTTCTGGCAGAACCCTTGGGACCAGGGGGGCCTGGCAGTGATCATCCTGTTCTTCACCACGGTCCTGTCTCTCGTCTTGTTTGCTATTATCTTTGGTTTCCTCCCCGTGAACAAAACGACCAACCAGGATGAAGAGTCGTGACCTGACTTTCCGAAGGCCAAGGGGGCCACTCTCAAAACACTATGTACTCTTTCTTCAAAGCCGTTTAACAGTCTGGAATTAAACATTTTTCATATAATTATCTGATAAATACCTGTCTTCCCCACTGGTTCAAGTACAAAAAGCAGGGGCTGGGTCTCCTTCTATTCCCCATTGTACCCCCTTTTCTGGTGGCGCCTTGCCCAGAGTCAGTACCTGTCAATGTTTGCTGGTTGAACAAATGAATGCATGAACAAATGAGCAAAGGAATGGATAAACAGAGGCATGCCTGAACTGTTGGCTCTCTGAGTCTCGAGACCCTGGGAGACGACGGAGCCCAGTACAATCTAGGCCTAAACCAAAGCAGTTCTTCCTATCTCAGGGTGCAGAGGCCTCTAGGCCAGAGGTTACTTTCAACCTAATTACTATTCCTTTTTACACTCAAAGGTAAATTAGGCCACGTCATCAGTCATCAAACACATCTCATGGTCACGCTCAGAGAAAGCAGCTGCACACCGAGAAGACGGGAAGCCGGCTGGGTGCCCCGCAGTGGCCTCCTTCCTATGACTGCTTGTCTTTCCTCTTGGTGCCAGGGACGCTCGGGCATCCCCCCAGAGCCCCCAGCCGCCATGCACCCCACCCACAATGCAGCCTCTGTGGGCATGTCCCCGCCTCTGCCGACGCCACCATGCTGGCCTGTCCCTTGCTGCCAGGTGCCCTCCCTTTGCAAACAGCTGCTTCCATGTCAGCTTCAAACCAGGCTATTCTTAGAAAAGGGGCAAATGTCTGGTGGAGAAGGGGCTTTGCCTTTGTGCTGTGTACCATTTGTGCAATAAAGAAACATTCTCTTTCATTCAAAGAGCAATTTCAAATTCAGCCACACCAGCCATGGTGCCTCCATCCCAGGGCCTGGAAGTCCTGGCATCAGACACCCTCACGTGCAACAAGAGAGACAGAACAGATAAGGCAGCTTACAGAGCAACAGGAGGCCCCCCAATGCCCAGCCCCTGATACGTTAAGAGGCCCCAGCTCCTTGAGCTGAGACAGAAGGCAGAGGCCCCTGGGAGGACCTGTCCTCTTGTGTGGTGAGCTGCTGCAGCCTAGAGGTGGCAGAGCTAAGCCTCCGGACAGCCCTGCAGAGCCTCAGACTCACCCCCAACAAGAACCCAGCCAGGGCGCTTTCCAGCACAGGGGACTCTGATACCCAGCAAGGACACAGAGCCCTTTCAGGACAAGCACTTCACTCAAGAAGCCGACGGAGGCCTAATTTAGCAGTTCATAGTATGAGTGCCTACAAAGGGCTCTGGTCACAGGGGCTGTGGGCAGGGGTCCTGCCCACCTCTGCTGGGCATGGTCTTGCGAGGCCAAATGAGAGATGGCCGCTTGGAGAAGGAGACAGCTTCAACCCAGGAGCCACCAACTCATCAGTGAAGAGGAGGGGGTGAGAGTCAGAACACATGGCCCAAGTAAGAGCCTCTCTGGTCTCCAGAGGAAACCATCAAACCTCGCTGGACACGAGGACCATGCACTTAATCAGCTCCGTGCTTCGAGAATCTAGTACAGCAAAAACCAACACGGCATGTGTGTATGAAAACGTGCACGTCCCTGACAATTGGAAGACTGGGGATTAGTATCTGTCCAGCTGTGAGCTTTGTGACCATGACCTCTCTGGTCCACTCGAAGTCTGAAGCCATCAGTTCTGCATCTACCTTACAGGTTGTCCAATGAGATCTAACTAATGAGAGTAGAGGAATCAAAGAGCTTTTTGACCCAAGCGCTATACAAATGCCAGGGCGCTTAGCCTGTCTCGAATGCTCCTGGACGTCCCTCACATGGTGTGCCCACAGCTGCTCGTGCCCGGGGCCCGCCCTGAGCAACTATCAGGCTCTCTCATAGCCCCCTCCAGCAGCAGATGCTGATCAGATACATGGTTTCCAAAGTGGGCAGGCTGCTGTTATGTTGGAAACGTTGATGTCTTTCCAAGCACATTACCGCCCCCTCCGCCCCCTAAGAGATAAGCTGAGCCACATGTTTCTGTTTGGGTCTGGGATGAGACTGACTACCCTACAGGTGAAGCCAGTGGTCCAGCTCCATGGCACATGACAACTACAACGCCAGTGGCGCAGAATGGGTCGCATCTCTTGGAATGGAGTCATTCACGGGGCCAGCTACTCCGGAAGTGGGTAGAGTGGGATGGGTGGGTGACCACCCAAAATACACAATGAATCCTCACAGGGCCAGAGTTTCTGGGGCCTTCCACAGAAAACTGGGCGGGTACCACCTTCCATGCTCCCTGACAGGAAACATCCCACACGATGGCCCTCAGCAGGCAGGGGTCCCTCGGTGGCCCAGGAGCTGCCCTACATGAGCTGGTACCGGGGGAGGGAAAGTCTCATCAACACTTGGCTCCACACACGAGATAACGTCACTCACCCTGATTCTTCGCAGAAGGCCACCAGGGCATCAAAGGCCAAGACTGCAGCTTTATCAGATGCTTTGTTCCCTCTCTTTTCCTGGAGACAAGAAACAACTATTCAGCAAAAGTCTTGTATAGTTGGACTACCGTATAGCCCAACAAATGATGAGAGAGAAAAACAGCAAAGGACACTAATAAAGCCATTCATGAAACAGTCTCCACACCTGACCATGCATCACCTGAGCAGCTTTTGGAAAACAGAAATTCCCCAAAGTTCCAGCTCCAGTCAGGGCAGGTTCCAGGTCACTTTTTTAAAGCAATTTCAGGTGACTTAGTTCCAGAAATAGGCTATCTCGCTTAAAGGGTACCTATATATATGTAAGTAGGTATATATGTATATACACTCTTTTCCTTTTTTTGGTATGTGGGATCTTAATTCCTAGATAAGAGATCAAACCTCACCCCTTGCAGTGGAAGCACAGAGTCTTAAACACTGGACCAGAGCCTTAACCACCGGATCACCAGGGAATTCCCTACCTGTATTTTAAAATTTTAATAGATATTGCTAGATTGCTTTCCTCTGCAAAAGACTGTAATACTGCATTTTTCTCTTGGCAAAGTGTAGACCCTCTTTCCTACACGTGCCCACTAGCAACAGGGTTTGAACTCTTTTACACCTGTATCAGATTTTAGTTTAATTTGCACCTCCTTGATTACTACCAGATTTGAACATCTTTGGATATATCATTTGATGAGTTTTTCTGGGAATTTTTGTTTCATATCCTTTATTTTTTCTTGTCAGTTGGGGAAAGCTCTCTATTTATTGCCCACTTTAACCTTTGGTTTACCTTTTACGTTAAATATCTTTCCAGATCTATTATTTATCTATTGCCTCTCTTGATGGTATCTTCACCACACAGAATTTTTCCACAGATTCAGGATTTATGGAAACTTTAGATTATTTATGTATCCAAATATTTGGTTTTTTGAAAAGATAGCTTTCTGGATTTTTAATTTACATTACAAAAGTATCTTCACCAGATCTCCAGCCCCAGGTGACATACTGGACTAATCTTAATCCTTTTTCTTTGGGCCACACAGTTTTTAGGATCTTAATTCCTTGACCAGATATTAAACCTGGGGCCACGGCAGTAAAAGCGCCAAGTCCTAACCATTGGACCATCAAGGCAGGATTGATCCTGACTATATAAAATAACACACACACAACAGTCTGTACGAAGATAAAGTAAGTATAAAGAAAAAGTCTAACCTTGTTACAAGCTATCTACCAACAATACCCCATTCGCCCCCTTGTACTTTCGAGCCTCAGGAGCACCCCTCCAGATTATAGAAGCTCCATCTGGGTTCCAAAATACGCTGTGTGAAATGGTGGCACGGTGGGTTCGGACAGGAAGGGCTCCTACTGTCCAGGACTCACCTGGAGTTTTGCAACTTCCTTCCTGATCAGGAAGCTGACTTGGTCCCGGTCGCTCCTGGAATAGTAGAGGCGGCACCAGGAAGGCTTTCCGTCTCTGCCTGCCCGGCCAGACTCCTGGTAGTACCCAGCCATAGACTTGGCAATATTCCAGTGGGCGACAAACCTGGGATCCAAGGGACAACCACCATGAGATGTGGGGGAAAAGCCGAGGGGAGGAAAAACTCTGGGATGGCTGAGCAAGGCCCTTCACGGGTACCAGGAGTGGGGAGGCTGGCAGGGAGATGGGACCCCAGAGTAACAAGGCTAGGACACCTGCAGTCTGCCAGCAGGCCTCCCTGCCGTGGAGCAGCCCATAGAAAAAGGGGTGGATTTAAATAAGACTAGGACACTTACAAGCTAAGTCCTCTACAACATCTTTGAAGAACAAAAAAGTTAACATTTACTAAATACCTACTATGAGCCAGTGTACATGTTTGTCTTGTTTAATCATTACAGTCATCACATGAGCTAGCCTCATTTTATAGACAATAAACTTGGGATTCAGAAAAGTAAATTCGTACTAGGGGATGGTAGAGCTAGGACTTGAGCCTAGGGGTGTCTGATTCCAAAGCTGTTCCCTAACAAGACACAGTTGACCCAGGGTTCAAGCCCTGATTCCAAAGCCCATGTTCTCTCAAGCGTAGTTCATGGTCTAATTCCTACCCTGACCAAGGCAGGGTCACTGTGAGGTTTAATGAGACCAAATGTGCAAAAGTGCTCTGTAACTCACACAAAGCACTACTCTTGGTATTAATCAGAGCAAAGGACTTGGGGCTGTAGCCCAAAATGTCTCCAGAAGGTCAAGAGTGGCTGGAGGTAAAAGATGCCCCCACAGTGGCCAGTGTGGGGCTAGGAGGCTGGGACGTACCCATCTCTGCTGGACTGTCCAGTAAGCAGTGAGAAGGGGAGACAGTAACAAGATCTTTGCCTTTGCCTTCCCATAGGGAGTGGCTTTAAGATAAGTCATTCCACTCTCTCACAGGCTCCAGTTGCTAAGATGGGAGTGAGCAGGACTGTATTAAAGGGAGAGCCTGAGGGTCGGCAGTGCTGCTCTGCCACCAGGGGGCAGACCACACAAGAACCATCAGCATCTGGACTCTGTATTTCCGATGCTGTCCTGGGGCCTCCACTCCCCACTCCCCCCTCACCCCACCACCCCCGGCCCCTCGCCCTAGAAGGACGCACAGTCCTGGTCCTCCAGGCAGAGCACCAGGAGGCCCGCCCCACCCAGAGCCAGGGCCCGAACGGCAGAGCCGGACAAGAACCAGAGCTCACCTGACATTGGCTTTGTCCACTCCCATCCCAAAACTAACGGTCGCCACAATTACAGGGACCTTCTCCTCCATCCACTCGTTCTGCACCAGGGTTCTTTCAGGAGCCTTCAGCCCTAGAAAAGAGAAGGTGAGGAAGGGAACTCGCATCTCTCGTGGGTTTCCCCTGGGGCCTACCTGCACACACACTGTGAATCCATCACCTACCACGTGTATGACCTTGGGTCAGGCACTTAAGCCACTGAGCCTGAGCCAGTAACATAAAGACCCTGGCCTGTGTGTGGCAAAGGTTCTCTCATAAATGTGAGAGCCAGGATTCAAACCCAAGTCCAGGGACTTCCCTGGTGGTGCAGTGGCTAAGATTCTGTGCTTCCAATGCAGGGGGCCTGAGTTCAATCCTGGTCAGGGAGCTAGATCCCACATGCCACAACTAAAGAGTTCGCATGCCACAAGGAAGTGCCATGACCAACACCCAGTGCAGCCAAATAAAAATTACAAAAAACAACCCCAAATACCCACGTCCTTATTGGCCTCCAGAGCTTGTGCTCTTGCCACAGCACCAATTCCTGGACTAAAAAACTCATCACCTGCTGCTGGGTGGGCACAGGGTGATGACAAGAGTTCAGGAGATCCTTTAGATCTCATTCATGTCTAGGCACCTTTTTGTGGATTTAGGTGAATCATTTTAG